GCGTAGGGCGAGGACCCGTCCATCGCCGCTTGCGGCTTTAATTATTAGTTGTAGTTGTACTGTCCCCTTCCATTAGGGACTCTGAGGCAGCTACATCTTTATTTACTTGTGCTCTTCACACCATCGCTGTATTTATCATTTATGGACCTGTCAGATCTCTCAGGTCATCAATTATATCTGCAACCAAACCTTTTTTTTTATGCACTTCATGTCCATTTGTCTGTGCAACATCACAGGTTATTGATCCTCTTTGTTGTTTTTCCTGTTTTGTTCTGCTCATACCTCCCAGAGCAGCGGCGGTCTCTCAGGGATCTCCTCTGTTGTGCTTGGTTCTATTATCTCTCACTCCTGCAGCAGACCAGCACCCACCAACAAAAGGAAACGAGTAAATGCAATGAAAGCAGATGTTTCCTAACATTTTCTGTCTCTCTGCAACAGATGAGGACCGTTGTTTGAGATGTTATGAAGAAGAGACTTGCTTACTTCAAGGATACTAAATAGAAATCTATGGGAGAATAAGCAAAAAGCTATTTTTAAATCTATTTTGGGGGCAAAATCACCAAACTTTTTAGGTGAGTTAATCAGGTTTGACTGATGATTTTATACATGCAGCTTTGATACTGCAGTAATCACTGAGACTGCAGTTATTGCTCTGTCCCTGTTTGTTCGATAGAAGTGGTCTTGTTAGCCTGAAATAACTCCACACGAGTGTTACCAAGACACCTGCCGAGTGTTGACACTTGCCTCGGAGGACCTTTCCTTTGTCCTGACTCATCTTTGCTATTTGTCCTCAAATGTCCCTCGCTGAAAAAGAGCTGGTACATTTAATTACATTCGGTACACATGGACACCAGCTGCTATGTAGAATCTTCTAAGTGTCTGCCATTCCCCAAGCAAAACACTGCCAGCGTCTACCGTGAATGTATAATGTGGTGAATAAATCTAAAGCCAGTAATCCAGCTGAAAGTCGAGAGATCAGCAAATGGCTTATACAATCGCTCCATTTTAAACGGTAAATATTACTGGTAAGGAGCAGATCACTGAATCATTCTGAAAAAAGCTTCGAACCTTACTTGCTTTCGTTTGTCCAGTTAAAAGGAAAGAGAATCCCATTTGTTGCTTTTATGAGGAACAAAATCTACATTCCTTTTTTGTGCAAAAATGTATTTGAAAGTCCATCTGAAGCTAATATTAGGATTCTCTGCAGTGAGCGGCAGCTCAGGGACACTTACAAAAAGGCGAAATATTGTACTAAAAAGGCAGTAACTCAGGAAGGCTGTTATTTGAATCAACTAAACAAGACTGCCGAAGCCTTAAATTAGCGTCAGACAAGGTTAGGAATGTATTTTTTGCTTTTGATTTTTTTTTCCTTTCATCACTTTCACTGAAAGTAATTGAAAAAGACAT